GAAGGGAGGGAGGAATGAGGAGAAGGTAGGAATATAAGGTCTCTGAGCAATCTTCCAGATCTTTCACAATAGCTCTCCATGAAGTCTGGCATTTTAAGAAAGAACAGAAGGATTTGCATGTTTGGGATCAAGGTGGTAAGCACTACAAGGCAGAAATGGGGATGTGAGCAGCCCTTCTGAAGCTGGAGAAATATGTGCACCCCACATGTGAACAGAAAGTTTAACCTTCAACCCACCTGCTCCTGGGAGGAGTCAAGAACCTGCACTAAAAGGGTAAATTACTCCCCTCCACTCCCATTCACACCACAAGCACCAGGCAGACCCTTTCCACACCCCCAGGCTTGGAGACTACAGACCCAAAAGGCTGAGTCATCATAACTGATAGAAAGGTGATTGGCCCAGATGCCAGTGAGGCTGGCAAATGGCCCAGAGTTTCACAACAGTGGGGTATTGTGTGCCCTAAGCCGGGGAAGTCACCAACAGGGGATTTGCATATGAGAACGAGAAGCACCCCATGCTCTAGCCCCTCTGTGTCCCCCATGTAACTCCAGGGGACCCAAGGGATCTGAGTGGCCCCAGTACCTGTCACGCAGGGGCAGGTGACAGACAGAAAGGAAAGCAGAGGATGTGCTTAGGGGGCTAGCCTGTGCTCACCATCATGTTCCTAGGGTGGCTGTCAGTTTTGGGTGGAGAATTCTGCTCCTCATTGGGGACCACTTCAAAGTCAGAGGAGGTGCCCTGTACAAAAAAACAGTTAGGGGCTGCCCAAAAGAAATGCACCCTGTCCCTAGTGAAGAGCACTGAAGGGACAGAAAAGCAAACAGTGGCAGAGTTTCCAGAGGTCACACACCATTCACATGAGATCACCAGGGACTGCACACAACTGCCATCACATCACCCTCCTTGTGATCTGAGGTCATACCCATCCTTGGCCACTACCTTATCTGTGAAAGGGGTGTGAGGGCTGACCTTTAACCACCACTATTATTTATATCTTCACTGGGTGTGTGTGTGTGTGTGTGTGTGTGTGTGTGTGTGTGTGTGGATACCACAGCACGTGTGCACATCAGTTGCCTCCTCTCTACCCCACAGGTTCTGGGGACAGAACTGAGGTTTCTGAGTTCACACTTAATAGCAATCACCTTTACCTACCAAGCCACCTACTGACCCAAGGATTCTACGTTTTAAAATGTTTCATGAGCTTTATTCTCCAAAGCCACTCATGGCCTAGCTGGAAGGCTCATATTCTTTTGAATGTTCACAGAATTAGTTAACACACAAGGCGGGACTCTTCACAAAAAGGGCAGATTTCTGCCAAATCTCCTAGGCTCAAGTGTCTGTAGCTTACTCCCTGAAAAACAGCAGCCATTATAGCTACCACTAAGGAAGCCTTGCCAACCCAGCCCCAGAGGTCACCAGGAGAGAATTGATCTGAGAACACTGAGGATAGGTGGACAATGCAGAATGTTTATCAGATGGTGGCTAGCCAATCTTCTTCTTTTTTTTTTTTTATACCTCTAGCCATTCCAAGCAGACTTTATGGGCTGTTCAATCATAATGGGCCCACAGTCCATCTGAATCTGCACTTGGCTCTAAGATTCCCCTTAAACCTGGCCAGGAGGGGTTGGGGCAGATGGCTCAGTGGTTTGCTATGCCAGCAGGAGGACCTATGATTGGATTCCCCAGCACCCATGTAAAAAGCATGACTGGGTATCTGTTATCTGTAACCCCAGCATTGGGTTGGACAGAGACAGGGGGATCACTGGAGCTTGCTGGCCAGCTGGCTTATCTGAAAATGGCAAGCTCTAGGTTCAGTGAAGAGACTTTGGGGGTGAGGAAGGGAAGAGAGCAATAAAACAGGACACCTGACGTCCTCCTCTGTCCTCACAAGCACACACTGGTGTATACCCCTATGCATACAGGACACACACACACACACACACACACACACACCAAACGACCCCACAAAACCAAATTTAAAAATGCTGGGGGTGGGGGTGGGCGAGGTGGTGCATGCCTTTAATCCCAGTGCTTGGGAGGCAAAGGCAGGTGGATCTCTGTGAGTTCAAGGCCAGCCTGGTCTACAAGAACTAGTTCTAGGACAGCCTCCAAAGCCACAGAGAAACCCTGTCTTGAAAAACCAAAACCAAACCAAACCAAAAAAACCCCAAACCCAAAAACCCAAAACCTTCTTGACATGCAGAGACTATCCAGCTTTCCCAGTCCTGAGATGGGGTAGGACAGATGGAAACCAGCCTGGCTGGCCACCTAGTCACAGCTACCATGACCCCTTCTGTGGTCTAACCCTGCTAGAGAAGACCTCCCCCAAACCTACTCTCTTTGAGTTCCACACATGACCATGGAAAAGGCCCCTCTCTCCTCACTATCTGAAGGCTCCCTGGAGGAACTGACCTTACAACATCAAGCTAAATTTCTCCACTGAGCCTGCAGGCCATGGTTTCTGAGCCTCTTAGCAGTGTGTGTCTGTGCCCCACTAGTGGGCACATCACATTACACAGATTATTAAATGAGAGGAATTCTTTGTCAGATCAGGGCCTTCCTGGTCATATTAACTATGACTTCCATCTCAAAATGACAAGCTGCTCCCTCCCAGTGTGAGGTGGGAAGAGCTTCAGGCAGCTTCGGGCACCTCCACACTCCAAATGCAACTTACATTGGATGAAGGCCTGGAGGTTGGTGCTGGCTTCTCCATGGAGTTTTCAGTGGTGGTGGGAGTGGTGGTGGTGGTGGGAGTGGTGGCAGGAGGATGTACCTGGACCTGTGTATCCTGTCCTGGAAAATCAAGACTGTGGCTAAAGAAACCCAGAAGGGAAGAAGCCCAAACCCAGCCCACAATGATGGAAGCTCTCGGAGTTCTTTCTTGACCTGGAGGAAAGGGAGGCTGTCCCTTTAAGACAAGAAGCCCTGTGAAATGACTGGCCTGAGTAATGCTGACAGAGACTGGGCAGAGACCCTCTTCTCAGACCTTCCTAGGAAAACTCCAAGGTGTCCCTGGCTCCCTGTTCCCCTAGATCTGCCTCAGGGTTATAGGCACAATTTTCAATTAACCAAGTGCTTTCTATTGGGTTTTGAAAAAGGCTCATGCAGCTTAGGTTGGCTTCAAACTTGGTTTCATGTAGCTCAGGCTGGCCCCAAATTCATTCAGTGTACAACTGAGGATGACACTGGACTTTTTATCTTCCTGCCACCAAACTCCAGGATTACAGGTGAGTGCACACGTACTTTATTCAGAGCAGCTGAAGATGGAACACACTCAGGGTTTATTACAGGCTAGGTGAGCATTCTACCCACTGAACTACAGCCCCACCCGCTATGGTGTTCTCATGACAGCCCAGGAAGGGAAACCAAGGTTTGGCAAGATCAGCAACTTGGCTAGTCACTCTGTTATCAACTGTAAAACCTGGTCTCAAATGCAGCTCACCTTCCCTACCATTGGGGGTCCCTGCTGCAGAAGTCTTGTGAATATCTCCCCACCACACTGGAGTGGACCTGGCCCCAATCAGACACTGAGAATTAACAGCTGACTGGGCCAGTGAGGACTCGAATGCCCTTCTGACAGCTGTGCCACAGGCTCTAACACCTGCCCCCGCTTCTCATCTGTCTGGCAAGTATCATCACCCTTAAAAAAGAAGGTGTCACAGGGGCCTGGGCAGAGTCTGAAGAGTAGCAGCAGGAAGTGCCCAAGTCTGGTGTAGGAGATCTTCTCTTGGCTCTAGTCCTTGCCCAGGACTCAAGACACACTGGAGTAACACAAGGTGACCATACAGAGACCAACCCTTAGTCACTGTCACCCTCTCCTTTCGAAGATAGCGTAGGCACTGCTGAAGGCTAACAGGCAAGGCCAGATTCTTCTCTGGGCCTCAGCCTTCCTGATTATGAAATACAAGCAGGGAGGCGGGAACAAAGAATGTTCAGCTTCCATGCCTGGGGGCTGGCCTGCCACACAGCAGCTAGGGACTCAATAACCATGCTGATAAAGCCCTAAGGCCATGTCTTTGGTGCCATGAACCAGGGCATCAGGAGTGCTGAATCACATTCTGAGGTCCCTTATAGATTTGACCTTCCACAGGTGCTGTAGCCAAAAGATGTGCACAGAAGATGGTCTGAGTGAGAAGGGGTAGGTCTTGTAGTATTCAGGGCCTGGACAGTCTAGGTTCAGAGAGGTAGGGGTTCTGGATTCTTCTGGTACCTGTGAGCTCAGCCAGGGGATCGAAGGAGCCCAAGGAAGGAGCAGGTGGCGGTGGAGGCAGCTCAGTGTCCTTGACCAGCTCCTCAGCCTTCTGTCTGAGCCTGGATGCTTCCATCTGAGACTCCTCTAGGAGCTCCCCTAGAGACAAGGAAGAAGCACATAGATTTACCCAGCCCAGATAGAGCATGGCTGTCTCTATCCCTGCCTCAATCCTGGCCAAGGACTGACTTCATTCCCATCGTGGCTATGTGGGCTGCAAGTCCAAGCTTGTGCTCTGCCCCTCCCCAAAACAAGCCATCATAAGAGGAATCTGGCAGTAGGGCCCAAGAAAACCTACCTCTGGCCTCCTCTTCCCCCCCACCTCTCCCTCCATATTTGCCCCCCACACACACACAAACGCACACACAGAAGTGAGGGGTTCTTGAGGAACTCCCTGCTTTCTAGGCCTCAGTTTTCCTTCTGCAGGTGGAGAGAGGAAAATTTTCCATCCCCACCCACCGCTACCCCAAGTGGGTTCTTCAATGCAAGGAGAAAGCACTTGGAAAGCCAGGGTACTATGCCCTCCACACCAAGCTTGAACACAAAGAAAGTGACTTCCAGACACAGTGTAAGGAGAGGGAGAGGGAAGTAAGTGAAGGCTCTGCACCAAGGAGAAGCATGCCATGCATCGGTCATGGTGGGCAAGGATGGAGGGAAGGACGGGCTGGACAGTGGGGATAGCTTGAGCAGAAGCTGAAGGAAGAGGGTGGAGGGCTGTGCTGCACTGAGCTCTGGGCCAGTTCTGCTCCTGGCCTGGCATCCAAGCCCTGGGTTCTGGGACTGCCCTGGTACACTGGCTCTCCTCATCTCACACACTTCACTTCTCCAACAGGTCAAGGACATTCTGGCTCCAGGTCCACAAAATGGGCCTTGTACTCCTCTCCCCATCATGCTTCCCTCTTGGTCCCTCAAGGACACCCTCTGGGGTGGGAGAAATCAGGGCTGGGAATGCCATCACCAGGCTACAGAATGCAGAGATGCCAGAGGCTAACACTGGGTCACAGCAACAGCGGATGATGGGCAGAGGCACCTGCCAACCTTTGTGAGGGTACTGGCACTGCAGGCTGTAGGGAGAGGGACAACAGGGGCGGGGCATGGTCTGCTTTACCTAACGTCTTTATCCCTTGTATTTTTCCCTTCAGCCGGGTATTCTCCACCACTAGGCGTTCAAAAGCTGCTGATGCCTCTCCCAAAGGCGTGCTGCCCCCTGGGTCGTAGATCCGGTAGGGTCATCTCCCTTCCATGAGGGTGACTCAACCCCTGCCGAGACGACCACCTGGCTGTAGGGACAATGGCAGACATCAGAGGGCTGGCCAGGCCCTTAGGTTATCTTTTCTGAGGATGATGTTCTTGTCTGCTACCACTCCAAAAAGTTGTCCCCATGACCCAGAACAGACCCTCTCATGTCAGGCTGGTCTGACCCCAGCACTGCATAGCATAGTACAGCAGTCACCTCCTTTGATTCACGTTCTGCTTCTATGAGTGTAACCGGAGAGGCATCCATTTCTTTTAGCAGGTGTACTGCACTGTGGCTCATTTGCAATGGCAGTAAAATGAAGTGTTGGGTGTGAGAGAGAATCTGGGAAGGAGTCAGGAGAGGCCTGAGTGCCTGCCTGCTTGGCCCTTCCCAATACCCATTATATACCAGTAATAAAATAAACACCCAAAACATACAGCATTTAAATGGCTTGGTCACAAACTTCAAACTATGGGACTAAGGGAGTCCTCTCTTGAAGAGGAAATGAAAGCCTTAAACTCAAACAATGATCTCTAAGGTAAGGAAGAGACCCGGGCTAGGTTCTAACACACTGTCATCTGTCCCATTCTGTTCTAAGCAGAAGAATCTCCCATCAAACCACTGTGTAGCACATATCCTGCCGTAAGCTGCTCTTGTCTATCTGCTTTATTTCATCTGAAACCACTCTGCAAGTGCTGCAGACTCCTGTTGCCTAGTAAAGCAGCCTTCATTCATTCAACAATGACTTATGGGGTTTGGGTGCTGGGTAGCAGTCTCAGTGTTGGGTACTGGTCTGTGTGCTGGTTACTAGTCTGGGATGCTGGGCAATAACTCCAAAGACTTCCAAGAGGAATGGAAAACTCAAGATTTGGCGAGTACTGAAACTGCACATCCAAGATCATCAGCCCTCAGGAAAAATGGCTTCAATCAGGTCTCTCAACGGCCCTTTGACCTCCACACTGCCCACTAAAGACAAGCATGCAGCAGAGTTAGTGACAGGGACTTCAGAACTATTTGCTAACTGCATGTTTGCCTCTGATGCATTCTGTCAGGGGTCCAGCAATCCTCATTTTATAAAGCGACAGCAATGGAGGCCACTGAGCCTAAGTACCTCAGCCAGAGGGCAAGACCAGTCAGTGTGTGGGCATCAGATGCAGAGCTTTGCCTAGAAGGGCCACAGTTCCTTACCCCTGCTAGATGCACATGGTAGGGACCCATAGCTCCCTCAACCCAGGCCAGTGGCAGAGTTCAAGCCCATTTGTATGGTAGCCTCAGGCCACTGAAGAGCCTCTCTAGCTTAGCAGTTGTCAACCTTCCTAATGCTGTGACCCTTTAATACAGTTCCTCATGCTGGGCGATCCCCAAACATAAAATTATTTCATTGCTACTTCATAACTGTAATTTTGCTACTGCTATGAATGATAATATAAATATCTGTGTTTTCAGATGTTCTTAGGAAGGGTCATTTGCGCCCCCCCCCCAAGGGGTTATGACCCTTAGGTTGAGAATCACTGTTTTGGCTGTTTCCTTCAGTATAAGAACCATCAGCCTTCTTATTTATGCTGGGGATGGAGCTAGGCCTTCTACACTGGACCAGCACCACCAACATAGCCACTTTACCAAGACTATCTGCAGAACACACTGGGCCAGAAGGGAAAAATAATGAAGCTGTGACAAGCGTCCTACCCCCACCCCAAGGCTGACAAAAGCCAGCTGAACACCCACTGCAAGAGGTACCCACACCCTGCTGGGCCCTGTGAGGCAAAGGACAGCTGCCCACACACCCACATCGCTGGCTAGGAGGGACTTTTTTTTTTTTTTTTTAACTTGAAAGGTCAGCATACACTGCAGAATGGCAAACACTGATGTACCCTTGAGTGAAAGGAGACAGTGTGGGTGAAGTACTAGCAGACAGTTGGGCACTCAAGACCAGCAGCCCACGAGGGTCCTCTTCTGCTCACCTATGCTGGCCACCACATGACTGCACCTGGCTGGAGCCAGCATCTGTCCATTAGCTTAACCTCTTCCTGGACAGAAACAAGATTCACATATCTCTGTATTCCTGTCACCAGCACAGGAAGGGAGGTCATCCCGAAGGGAGGAACAGAGTTCACAAATGGGGAAATTAAGGCTGGAGCCACCCTGAGTAACAAGTAGCTGCAGGTGGCCTGGTTCCCAGCCCCACTCCCTAGGGTCCACAGTAAGGTTTTCTCTGTGTGGCTTTCTCAATAGAAGCTCCATCCATGGAGGCAGAGTCCAAGGCCAGGGCTTCTTCAGAAAGTAGTGAACACACAGAGCCAACACACCATCCATTTCAAGGCCCAGAGGTCCCCACCTTACCCCATTTCCCAAGAGGCCATGTTTAGAACCAGCCAGCCAGCCCAGCCACCACTGTGCACAATGGCAGGGTGCCAGCTCAACACTTCTAGAATCAAAACTAGAATCACTGCCACTGCCTCCCAGGGATGCCCAGACAAGACCATGTGGCAGACTGGTGTGCAGGGGCTGACAGACAAGGGGTTCATGGGAAACATGACCAGAGTGTACAGGGAGATGACCTACCATGGCCTTGGAGAAAGACAGAGCTGGGGCAGGGGGCAGGCTCCCTGCAAGGGAGCAGACTCCGGAGGAACCTCAAAAAGGAATGGCCTGAGAGATGTCAGGAAGAAAATAGTGAGGGTTGAGGGACTTCCAGCCAAGCTCTCGCCCAGGGGCTAGTACACTTCCATCATGGCCTCTGATGGTATGCAAGGATCAGGGGACCTCCAAGGATTAGCACCAGGAAGGCTTCACAGGGAACTGCCAGAGACTGAGAGGCTGACCAAGAAAGGATGGTGTGGTCCCCAGAGACCAGAGCAGGAGACAGGCAGGAAAATAAGAGCCTGTTTTCAAGAGATTCTTCCTCTAGGTCCACACAAGGCCTGGAGCAAGGAGGCAAAGGACACACAAAGGTCTATTTCCTTGTGGGTCTGGCTGCAGACTCTCTATTAACCAGGGTCCAATAGGAGGCTGTAGTGGCCACCTATAGAGATGCCACCTTCGACAGGGGACCTTCCTGCAGAGGGACACCAACATGTTGCCTAAACCAGAGACAGACGCTGATAAAGAGACAGCCAGCTCACATCTAAGTGAGCCTGGGCCTGGTAAGGGGCTCCTCATGACCAGATCTGGGGCTACATGATGGAACTAAAGAGACCTGGTTTGAGGACAGAAAAGGACCTAGACTCGCAGGTCAACCAACAATTGCAGAGGATGGTGATGCACGGCATGGTGATGACATGATGCTGTGACTCTGAATGCACTGTGGCTGGGGAGCAGCTAGGGGGACCTGTTGGGGGGAGGGAGTGGCACAGTAGAGTGGACCCCCATCCCTGACCCTCTTCTGAAAGGGCCAGAGCCCCACTAAATTCACATTCAGCTGATTGAGGCTGCCTTGCCCCAGCCATGTTCTAATGGCTGAGGAGGTGGTTGTAGGCACCAGGAAGGATGGGGTACTGAACCACAGGGAAGGGCTCCATGACCCGCAAAGTCACGCTAATTTGTATATCCACTAGCATTTACAAAGTACTAAGTCTCGGGCATTCTTCTTCCTCCTGACTGTCCCAACAGCTCTGGGAAGAAGACATGGTAGACAGACAAGATCATCAAGCTTGGCTTGGGGACTTAGTCCCACTAATGCCTCTGGTTTCTGGCTCTATCAGGGGACATCTATGCCCTACAGCCCTGGAGGTAGCAAACGTCTCCTAGCACCAAAGGAGTGGCTCCAACACACATCATGATGGCAAAGGTCTAAGTCCTCAGCAGAGGCAGAGCTATGAGATATACCAGCAGGTGTGGTCAGAACATGGGGACAAAGGAAACTCAGAAAAGAAACTACCTGGCCCCTCCCCTTGTCTACAACCTTGGTCCCCTGTCCTCTTATGCAAGGGGAGGGAGCCTGGATGCGACAGAAGCTGCCTTGACTAGATAAAGCTGGGTGCTGTCCTATTGGTCAAAGGATGGGAGGTACCCAAGCCTGCAGAGAAAGAGCAGGTCAGGGAGCAAAGGAGATGGAATGCAGGACATATAGATAGATGTACAGCCGTAGAATCAGGAAGAAGGTTCCACCCAGGACCAGGGAAGGTGAGACTCACAGGCCATGCACTGGCATGATCTTGTATATCACACTGCATCCTGGGACCTCACCTGTACCAGGCCCAGTTCTGTCCACCTTCCAGCGTTGGAATGCTGGGGTAGTCACTTATCTATTCTGGGCCCCAGCTACTCGTCTGTAAAATGGGAATATGAAAACCTCCCAGGCGAAGGTGAAGACATTGAATGGCATGTCTGTGCACAGTGGTGAGTGGTTCTCACTTCTGACTTTATTTCCCAAACATGATTTACTCAACAAGAAAACATGTTTCCCAATGAAATATCCAATATGATTAGGTGGTTCCTAGCTCAGTATGTAGGGATTCAGCAAAAGGGCAAGAGGATCCCACCACTATGCCCAGATGACCTAAGTCCTGTCTCCTGACACTCCATCCTTGGTTGGTTTTTATTTTTATTTTGCCTCTGTGTGGGTATACATGTACCCAGGAATGTATGAATGTGAGTATGGGTACTGGGTATGTGTATGTATGTGTGTACTGAAGGGTCAACCTTATGTGTCATTCCTCAGGAGCGGTCTACTTTCTTTTTTTGAGGCAGGGTCTCACCGGGACCTGTAGGTTGAATGATTTGGCTAGTCTGGACAGCCAATGAGCCCCCAGGGATCTGGCTATCACCTCTGCAGCACTGGGAATACCGATATGAACCCCATGCCCAACCTGTTCTAGGAGGGGGAGGTTCTAGGAATCAAACTCAGTCTCTTTCATGTTTATGGCGCAAGCACTTTCCTTCCCCAAGCGCTGCTATTTATTTATGTACTGTGATGCTGAGTATGGAACCCACATGTTAAGCAAGCACTCTGTCGCTTAAATATATCCCCAGCTGTTCTTAGTTTTTGAGACAGGATCTTACTATGTAGCTAGCCCCAAACTCACAGCCCTCCTTGTGCCTTCTGAGTCTTGGGATATAGCTATGTGCCACCATACCTAGCTTTTTTTTTTTTTTTTTTTTTTTTGACAGAAGGTCTCATGTAGCCAAGGCTAGCCTTAATTTCCTATGTAGCCAAGGACAACGTTGGGTTCCTGATTCTCCTGCCTCTACTTCTCTAGTACTGGGTCACGGGCATGTGTCATCATGCTTGACTGGACTGGACATTTTCTAAGGACCTTTCCAGTTCTAATATTTCAGGGTTACTACCTCCACAACCCATCCCTTTCTGACCTTAACAGGACTATCATTGTTCCCCAGATCTAGCCTCTACTGCCTGAGGGACCCTCGCTTGGACTCACAGTCTCCCATGAGCTTATTCAGGGACACATATATGAGGGGGGAGAAGGGGAGAGGGGGAAGGGAGGGAGAGAGGAAGGAAAGAGAGAGAGAGAGCAAAGGTCTTGGGCCAATGGCTGTTTGCAGGCCCAGCTACAAGACATGCTCCAGCCAAACCTGGGAACTATGTCCCTCTAGCACAGCACACACATCCCTCCCTGGGCCCTCTTCCCTCTCCTGTGCTGAGTCACTACAGAGGGAGTCCCTACTGTCCCCTTGATACACAGTTCACAGGACTTGTCTGACACCAGAGCTGGAATGTCAGCTGGGTGAAAATGGCACACACAGGGAGTGCTCAGAAGGGTGAGAAAAGGAAATGAAATGCCTAGTTTAGCACCACCATACATCAGTAGCCAGCCGAACCATTACACATATCACCTCACCCAGAGCTAAACATGCTTAGCCCTACTTTCTAGCAAGGAGGTCAATCCACCTGCCTCGACAGCATGTGGGAGCAGATGCAGAGGGTTAAGTCATCTGCCTGAGGACACACAGGGAGGAAGGAGGCAGAATCCCACAAGAAAAAGCCCAGTCCCTGGCTTCCATCTCTTGTCTGTCCTCACCTGCAGTCACTGGGCTAGCATCTCAGGCTGGAAGGTAGCAGAGGAGACAGGGTTCTGCAAGATTGAATTTGGCACTCGGCACAATGGTGGCTGCACTGTTCCCAATTCTATTTCTGATAGCCTTTACATCTTGGATCCCAAGTGTAAGGAGAAAGATGTCACTCCTAAGTCAGCCCAAAAGGTCTGGAATCTCAGGGCTTCCCTTGTAGCTGATTAGGTCTTGTTCCTGGCATTGTCTCACCACCTGCCACCCCACTATCTTAGTAGCTGCAGCAGGCCCTGCAACGGAACACAACTTCAGGTATTGCCTCGTGATCAGACACACAGGGACTGTGGCTTCCACCCTTCCAGGTACTGTACATCTGTTGACAGAGTCCTGGCATTCACATGATTCTTAGAGTTGGGAATATACATACGAAAGTATCTGTTATAATCAGACAGGGAACATCCCCCGAAGCCCCACTTGTCACAAATCTTGGTCCTAGAATGCATCACTCTCCCTTTACTTTCTGTTTCATGACTGAGGAGATGAGTGACCCTGCTCTCCACCCCTCCCCATGTACTCCCACCATGCTATTCTGTCTTACTGCAGGCCCTGCTCTCCACCCCTCCCCTTAGGCTCCCACTGTCTATGCTGACTTATGGCAGGCCCAAGGCAATCACAACTGGCCAGGAGCAGTACTCAAAACACCAAAACTGTGCAGCAGCTGGGTGGTGGTGGTGCAAGCCTTTAGTCCCAGCACTTGGGAGGCACAGGCAGGCAGATCTCAGTGAGTTCGAGGCTAGCCTGTACCAGGATAGGTGCCAAAGCTACACAGAGAAACCCTGTCTCGAGAAATCAAAAAAAAAAAAAGAAAGAGACTAAACAACGAGAGCGTGGGATTGGAGTTCAGGAGTTATGTCCTCCTTAAGGGTGGCAAATGCTGTCTCTAGTCCCTGTGTTTGCTGTGGAGGATCAAGCCCTCCTGTAGAGAAGCAACCTGGAGGCCATTTCCTTTATCTAGTGTGCCAGAGCTTAACCCACCCAGTGAACCTCTACCATAGCTTCTAGAGATTTCTGCATCAGACCACACAGGGGCTGTATTAAAAGAGGACTGCTATGTGCTTCATAGCAGCAAAAATATCCTGAATGGCCATCAAAAGGGCTTAATAAACCAAGGTGCAGTTGATATATGGAACACTATATAGCAATCAAACCCACGGGGTTCACTGCTTTTTCTGATGACACAGAAAAATGCCCATGAAATAAAAAGTCAAGTGCAGATTATGTGTGACGAGATAATATTTCCAGGGCACATACATGCACATGTACACACACACACACACACACACACACACACACACACACACACACGGTTGGAAAGGTACATGTCGAACACCACTACCGACTGGCTGACCGACAACCCTAGATAAGGCCCCAGCTGAGGGCTGCTGTCTTCTCAAGTCTTCCTTTAATTCTTTGTAGAGGAAATCTAGGCTCTTTATGCAATTGGTGGGGAGGGGAGGGGACAACTTTCACCTTAGGCAGGGTTTGTCCATCTTTCCTTTGTTTTCTCTTTGAGACAGGGTCTCGGTAGCCCAGTCTGGCTTCAGCCTCCACCTCTCAACTGTAGTTACACACAGAGGACAAAGGGGAAAGAGAAAATCCAGACTACAGGTATGTACCCAAGGCCAGGAACAAGCCCAAGAAAGGGCCTTGGGTGCCCACACCCAGCACAATCCCTGCTCTGCTCCCAGAGAACCAAGTCCAGAGGGCAGGGCCTAACCCAGGGCTAGTCCTGGAGAATCAGGGTGGAGCATCACAGCATCACATCACAGCCCACCTGTTACCAGTAGGCCCCAGAGGGCTGAGTTGGCAGCCTAGCTTCCAGGCCCACTGTCCATACCCATGTTCCTCCCCTCAGCTAGGATGCAGAAGTGACAAGGGGTGTCACTGAGTCAGGATGGCCTCGACCATCATCTGAGAGGCCAACTTTAAGACAAGAGGGATGGTGTCCAGAGTAGCCTGTCTCTCAGGGCCCAAATGCCACAGCTGGCTTATGCAATCCTGTAACTCCCCTCTCAGGAGGAAGATGACAGTTTTTGTGAACTCTCCTTATACCAAATATGGGAAGAGAATTTTAGACTCAAACCTGGCTCTGCTACCTCCCAGGATCTGTTGTTTTGTTTTCCCTATGGGAAATGCTGTGTGAACAAAGTAGGAACCATCGGGCTGTCTGTAAACCTTAATGTGAGCCTTTAATCCCAGCATTCGGGAGGCAGAGGCAGGGGGATCTCTGTGAGTTAGAGATCAGCCTGGTCTACAAGAGCTAATTCCAGGACAGCCTCCAAAGGCACAGAGAAACCCTGTCTCAAAAAACAAAACAACAAAAAACCTTAATGTAAAACCCAAATAGGAGTCACCATAGCTATGAAAGGGCCAGAGAAAGGAAGGCTAAATCATGAAGAGACCCTCAGAAGCTCATCTCAAACAGCAGCAAACAGCCCACAAAAGGAGGAAACCAAATCAACACATGAAGATGCCTCTGGGAACAAAACACAGCAGTGAAAGTGAATGGTCTGGCTTGAACTCTCTCTCATATGCAAGTTGTGTTACAATGGAATGGCTCAGAACACATCTTACAACATACAGAGCAAAGTTACACATTGGTCAAGATGCACACATTTGTATAAAAGTTGAAAGAAACACAAGAGAGGACTGGGGAGAGGGCTCAGTCACAAAAGTGTGTGCCACACGACATGAGTCCCAGAACACATTTAAAGGGGAGGGGGACTAGTGAGATGGCTCAGTGGGTAACGGGGCTTGTTCCCTATACCCAAAGGACGCACACTCACACCACAAGAATACCTGCTCAACTGTGTTCACAGCAGCATTATTCATAATAGCCAGAACCTGGAATCAACCTAGATGCCCCTCAACCAAAGAATGGATAAAGAAAATGTGGTACATTTACACAATGGAGTATTACTCATCGGTAAGAACAATGATATCTTGAAATTTGCAGGCAAATGAATGACACTAGTAAAAGCCATCCTGAGTGAGGTGACCCAGACCCAGAAAGACAAATATGTCCTCACTCGTGAGTGGGTATTAGATGTAAAACAAAGGACAACCAGCTACAGGTCACAACCCCAGAGAACCTGGGTAACAAAAAGGATCCTAAGAGAGACATACATGGATCCACCTAGGAAGGGGACAAAGACAAGATCTCCTGAGTAAACTGGGAGTGTGGGAGGCATGGAGGAGGATGGAAGGGGAGAGGGGAGGAGAGAAGGGGGTAGGGAAAATGTATAGCTCAATTTAAAAAATGGCAAAAATATTTTTTAAAAAGGTGCTTGCTCCCTAAACTGACAACCTGACTTCTCTCTCAGCCCCATGACAGGAGAGAACAGACTCCTTTATAAATTGTCCTCTGAGTCAGGCGTTGGTGGCCCACGACTTTAATCCCAGCACTCAGGAGGCAGAGGCAGGGGGATTTCTGTGAGTTTGAGACCCGCCTGGTCTACAAGAGCTAGTTCCAGGACACCCTCCAAAGCCACAGAGAAACCCTGTCTCGAAAAACAAAACAAAACAAAAAAATTGTCCTCTGACCTTCACACAGACACACAATAAATAAATGTAATAATAAATTTAAAAAGCCAGAAGCCAAGCATGATGGCTCACACCAGCAACTCCAGCATGAATACAAGGTCAGCCCAGAGATGAGAAGGTGGACACAGGTAAATCCCCAGAAGTGATGAGCCAGCCAGTCTAGCCTAATTGGTGAGTCCTAGGCCAAGAGGAGAGAGCCTGTCTCAAAAAATATAGTGACTGGTGGTTAGCGTGGGCTAGCCAGGTAAAGATCAGGGTGGAGGGATCTAGAGCGGGTAGTTATAGAAGAGGTAAAACCAAACTGAGGCCTCTGACTTATAGGTTCCTCTAGCCTACAAAGGCCAGCTCTGGCTTCAGTGACTTCTCATCTCCACCCCCACTCACCTGCCAAGGCTGATGAGGCCTTGGTCTGTCCACCTTTGTGCTCTGCAAAGAAAATGTCCCACAACTCAGGGCTCAGGCAATAGCCTGGGGACAAGGTCAGTGAGGAAAGGCAGCCCTGTGGGGACAGCCATCAGAAAGGAGCCAGCCACTCCTCAACAGTCACCCTTTCCAGTCACTGGGGTGACTGTCCAGTGCAGGTCACGGGAAGAACACAGAGAACTAATTTCCTGCAGCAGCCTGCTGGTCTGGTGGCTGCCAAGGCCTGCCTGTGGCTGGAGACAGGATACCCCTCCCGAGGGCCAAGGTGGACAGCGAGCAGAGGGGCATGCAGATGACATCATCAGGGAGGCACAAGAAGGCCTGGTCCAGCTGGAGCCCACGAGGACTACCCAATCAATGGACAAGGAGGGTTTTCACCATTTGAAGTACTCATTTCATTTGGATTTTTGAGACAGGGTCTGGCCTCACACTGGAAACATTAGCAAAGAATGATCTTGAACTTCTGGCTCTCTCGCCACTACCATCTGAGTGCTGGAATTATGGGTGTTTACCAACACACCTGGTTTATGCAGGACTGGGAATGGAACCAAAGACTTCACTCATGGTAGGTAAGTGCTCAACTAACTGAGCCACATCCTAGGCCCCAATATTTGGGACAGAGCAAAGGACAAGTCATTCAGAGAGCACAGAACACAGGCCAGGAAAGGGTTGGAGATGGGTTATTCAGAAGCCACCTGTGGCTTCAGCTATCAGCATCTCTGGCTGAGATGCCATCAGCCTCAGCAATAACCTCAGCCAGAGAGATCTCCCACCATGCTGCAGGGTGACAATGCCATCCCTTGGAGCTGGGTGAGGAAGCAAGGGGTTACAGCATCCACCTGGTCTACACCAGGAGCTGTCATAGTGGGGTGGAGACTGCACCAGCCTCATGCCCAGCTCTGGCACCTACCAGCTTTGCTGAAAGCCCAGCCATCTGAATGTCAACCAAGACTACAATGCCTGGGATCTTTGGGGATCTTGCCTAGTCCAGCTGACAACTCCCCAGCTAAGCACAGCCTCACTCCATATCTGCCATGTCCATTCTGACCCTACTCTGTACTTCACCATCTTTCCAGGCCTAATCTTAACGTCACCTCCTTCTGGGAGCCCCTCTTAACCAATCAGGTGCCCCCAAATGGCTTCACACCCTAGTTATATCTGCGATAGTTAGCCTTGTTCACTGCCCACTGGCTCCTGATGCTATCAGGAAGAGCTCCCAGCCAGGAGCAGCACTGGAAGGTGAAGCCAGGCCCTTACACATAGGTGTAGGCCCTTACACCTCCCAGCTGAAAGCTCAGAGGAACATCAGAAAACATACCCTCCAGTGATCTATCCCAGAACTCATTCTGTAGACCAGGCTAGTCTTGAACTCAAGAAATCTGCCCTCTCTCTGCCTCCTGAGCTCAGAGAGCAAAAGCCTGCACCACCACACCTTATACTGCTCACAAAAAAAACTTATTTTAGATGGTGATAAATGAATGAAAAAAAGTGGTAATGACAGAAAGTGAAAGGGGGGCTGTTTTGCATAGGAAGAACAGGGAAGGCCCCCTCTGAGAAGGTGACATTTGAGCTGAGTGTGGACAGATAAGGAAAAAACAGCCATGGGAAGGGCTGGGAGCTGTGTTCTGGGCCCTGGGATGGCAGGTGTGAGGGCTCAGCCTTAAGAGCAAGCTAAGCCCACACAGAGCTGGGAAAGAGCAGGTAACATGGCCTACCAAATCACAGTGGGCACAGAAGGGAGCCAGGACCCAGTGGAGGGAGGCAGACAAACAACCTCTCGGGGACACCACCATACTCAAACCAGGTCGGCCTGACCCAGCCAGGACATCCGGGCCAGAGACACAGCAGCACTGGGGGTGAAGGAATGAGTCAGACCCATGGCTTCCTGGGGCCCCAAGGGAGCTTCTATGGGCATTCAGGGACAGGCACCCACCCCCAGCTATACTGTACCCACACTCACGGGATACCCATGTGGAGGGGACAACATGATCATCATATTTAAGTATGCAGACCACTCCCATCTGTTGCTCTCAGAGGAACAAGATTAAATGTGTCCCACAAAGGGCTAGCCCCTAAATATTTTCACAGGATACAGCCACGACAACAGTCCAAGCCAGTGGAAAGGGCCCTTGGGGATGGGGTGTAGCTCAGCTGGTAGAGTGCTTGCCGAGCATGAACAAAGAAGCCCTGGGTTCAATCCCTAGCACACCACATAAACCAGGCATTGTAGAGCATGCCTCTAATCCCAGCACTCAAGTGGATGTAGAAGGATCATAAGTTCAAGGTCATCCTCTGCTACAAGTGAATTCCAGGACAGCCTGGGCTATGAAGACCCTGTTATGAAATAAAACAAAACAACAGAGTTTAGATCTGTCGAGATGGCTCGGTGAGTAAAGGTGTTTGCCACCAAGCCCAACAACCTGAGTTCAAGTCCTAAAACCCACACAGGAGAAGGAAACACCAATTCCACATGGGCATGGGCACCCTGACATGTGTTCACCTCCATATAAGCACAAACAAACAAATGTAAAACTAAAACCCAACAATAACAGAGAGTCAAGCTGAAAACTGATGACTACAAAACCTGAAAACCACTATCAGGATGGTTAGAAAGAATAAATGAGAGCCAGGCATAGTGGAATACTGTAATCCCAGCAGGTAGAAGCAGAGGACCAGGAGTTCAAGGTCATCTTTACAGTGTTCAAAGAGTTCAGCCTAGACTATAAGACTCTCTCTCAAAAAGAGAAAGAAAGGAAGAAAGAGAGAAAGAAAAGAAAGGTTTTTTTACAAGCTCATCTTGTAAGTGTAAAGTTATTAGAATTATCAACATGGATTAGTTTCACAAGAATTTGCTAGGGATACTGAGCCTACTTAGTGTGAGTATCCTCTGTCAAGGACCAAAAAAACTATTCTGAGAGTCCCCTGACTGTCCACTCATGAGTCTGAATTCCCCTCTACCACACCCCTCATTGTTGGTAGCATGAGTAAGAGCTGATCAAATCCCACTTTGACTGACTGTGAAATCAAAATGATGCATCAGGAATCCACACATTTCCCACAATGTCATTCAGCAAGGGGGTGGGGATGGCTACTGCTGAGACTTTTGCTTCATCCACAAAAGTCCCTCCCTCCCTTTTACCAAAACAGTTCCTCACTGACAACACCAAATTCCCACCCACTGCTGGGCAGTGAATACATGCACAGCAAACCACTTCCACACACATGATTTCACACACAGACACAGAAACTTCCCACAGGGAAAAACGCAACACAAAGCATAAAAAATATCCCTCCTTGGGTGGTGGTGGTGCATGCCTTTAATCCCAGCACTTGAGAGGGAGAGGCAGGTGGATCTCTGTGAGTTCGAGGCCAGCCTAGTCTACAGAGTGAGTTCCAGGGCAGCCTCCAAAGCTAGAGAAACCCTGTCTCGAAAAACAAAAACAAACAACAACAACACAACAACAAACTAGCTCTCCTAAATCATTCCCAGAAACTCACTGTATCTACCAAGCACCTGTGTACACAAAGCCTCCCAAGCTGTGCAAAGTGAGCTCAATAAGGGGGGGGGGTGCATTTGGGTTGGAATCCCAACTTTGCAACTCACTAGTTTCCTAATTACAGTCTGCAATTAGCTGGGCGTGGCGGTGCACGTCTTTAATCCCAGCACTCGGAGGCTGAAGCATGAGGATCTCTGAGAGTTCGAAGCCAGCCTGGTCTACAAATCAAGTTCCAGGACACCCAAGGCTACACAAAGAAACCCTGTCTCAAAAACCAATTAAAAAAAATACAATCTGGGCTGGAGAGATGGCTCAGTGGTTAAAAGCACTACCTGTTCTTACAAAGGACCTAGGTTCAATTCCCAGCACCCACATGACAGCTCACAACTGTCTGTAACTCCAGTTCCAGATTTGACACCCTCATACAGGCAAAAAAAAAAAAAAAAAAAAAAAAAAAAAAAAATCTGCAAGTTTTGTTTATCACTGGTGAGGTGTAGATATAAATTAATATTCATGGAGCATGGTTAGCAAGATAACTAGTAAAGACTCTGGCCACTGAACCTGAGCACCTGAATTCAAACCCAGGCAGGAACCCACAAGGTTTGAAAGGAAAAAAAACGACTCAGGTAAGATATTTGCCCACAACCTTAACCTGCAAACAATAATAAATGATTTTTTAAAAGAAGTTAGAATGAATGTCAGCTGGATAAGTTTCACACTAAAAGTTTAGATCTACAATGGGCTGCACGCCTTTTAACCTCCCCAGAATAAAGCAGGAGAGTCTCTGAGTTCGAGGTCATCCTGTTCTATATAGCGAATTCCAGACCAGACAGTCCTATACACAGTGAGACCTAGTCTCAAAACAAGAAAAGATTATCTGGAAATCGACCAATACGCGAGGCTATGATGATTTTCGTCATTACGATGTCTGCACACCTCTACCCAAACTTTGTTCTTTGGGGGTCCGCAGGCCGGTCCCAGGCGCGCATGCGCGCCCGCCTGGCTCCGCGGGCCGGGAGTCTC